GCAAAGTTCAAGTAAATTGGACAGTCTGTATCTCTTGCTTAGAAATTGCAATGAAAAAGATTTAACCAAAGGATAACGAAGCAAAGAAACCAGACTGAGACACTCTGCCTGGTGTGGGGTCCAAACAGAGCTTCCAGTCTGTGCTCAGAGACAAGGGTCCCCAGGAGAACACCAGGGGCCAGGCCTCGTATTCACTACACAGGGCTGACCGGGCCTGCGGCAGGCCGTGCTCCGTGCTCTGCCAGCGAGGCCTCGGACCCAGGATGCAAAGGACCCAACTGAGGCTCCCTGGATGCTCTCAATTTGAGTGGACCAGACAGAAAAATATGCAGAACTAGCTGTCCCACCACAGAGCACTGTGTGCATACGTGTGACTTCTTAAAATGGCCACAATTTTGTCACTCCTGCCGTCGAGGGGTGCGGGCTTGGGTTCCCTCCCATGAAACTGTGGGTGCTCTGGCTGCTTTGAGTGGAACGTTGGAGCGAACCTGAGTGGCTTCTGAGCACGGATCTTCATGTACCTCCCAGCTTCCGGCCGCCTTCCGTGGCAATGTTCTCCCTCTTGCTCGCTGTTTCTCCACGCCCTGGAAGAAGCTCGCCGGAGCACTGGAAGACAGCTGTAGACACTTCTGTTCATCTCCCACTTGAGCTCAGACTTCAAGCCGTCCAGCGCAGCCACCAGAAGAGACAGTGAAGGGACCTCCAGATGATCCCAGTACCAGGCAGAGGCCCCCAGTGTCGCAGAACAACGCCGGGCTACCCACGTTCCTCACGCACGGAAGGGTGTATAAAACCAAACAGTTATTTTATGCCATCTCAAACATACTGTCGTGCAACTACTGACAGCCAAGAAAACAGTGTGCACTGAGGACAGCTGCCCCCGGCAGGGACCTCACTACACAAGCACTAGAAAATCACTTCAGTTTGGGAACAAGTCACTGGGGCTTTAAAGGAACAGAAGCACACACTGAGGGGCTCAAGGGCCAACCACTGAGTCTGGAGTCTTCTCTGTAGGCTCCTGATGTCCACCAGCAATCTCAGGTTACCGCTGGGGGTCTCAGCGGGTGACACGGGCCACCCTTGGTATGCGGCCTCCTCCTCTCCTGGCCTGTGTCATGTTTCATTCCGGACTGTGTGCTTCCCCTCTGTAACCACAGCCAAGCCAACTGTCCAGGAGACGCACCCAGTGGCTGAACTGAACGCGAAGGGCCACGGGAAAGAGGCGTGTCCTGGGTGTCATTTCCTCCCCTGTCCCTCTGGTTTCCCTGCTTCAGTGGATGAAAGGACAGAATCAAACCAGCACTCAGTAAGCACCCACTACCCGGAAAGCAGTGTGAGGTGCTTTTATGATTACCTCACTTAACTTTTATTATTAATATCGTTACTGGCTTTTTCGAGACAAGGTCTCACTTTGTAGCCCAGGCTAGCTGCAGACTCACTGCAACCATTCGACCTTACCCTCCTGAGAAGTGGTATTACAAGAGTGCACCACTATGCTAGCAACCTCATTTAATTTTAAAATTCCACATGGTGGGGACATTTAAGAGAGAAATCAAGGCTTGTAAGTCAGTCACTTTCCTGTGATTGTGCTCATGGTGAGGGAGAAAACCCCGTTTCTATCCCCAAAGCCTGGCCTGCTGCAGCGCAGAAGAGCACGCTGCTGGTCTGGGAGTCTGGGGAACTCGAGCTTGTGGATGGCTTCCTGGCACAAGGGAAAGCCCGAGCGCAAGCTGAGCAACTGTCTCGGGGGGTGGGGGGACCAGTTCAGAATCGCCACTGGGCATGACAGACAGATGCTGGGCGTCTAGCTCTACCACAGCGCAAGGCCAGGGCTTCAGGATGGGGGATGCCGAGCAGCAGACAGCTGAGGAAGCAGGGGCCAGGCTTATGGCCACCTCTGCTCATCTGGACAAGGCCTGACTTTCTTTACAGCCCACGTGTACCACAGTCTACCACAGACCACTCGACCCCTCACTGACTGAAAACGGTGTTCAGAAAATGACTTTTCTTTTTCATAAGGAGAAGAAATACAGACCACACAAAATCATTTCCTACTTGTGTCATTTGACAGAAGACATTGCTTGTTGGGGAAACAATGAGAAAAAAAAAAAACCCAACCTCAGATTAGTGCTAAACAATTTCATTCTGAATACACTGGATTTACTGAGAAATAAAGATGGACAGTTTGGCAAAGACAAATAGATAAAGGCATTAAACATCCTGAGATGGGGGTTAGGGGTAAGAAAGGAGACAGGAGGGATAATAACTTGGTAATTTTAAGTGTAATTCTGCCTTCTCTTCATTTTCCTGTGGCCTCAAAAAGTGTTCTGAAATGGGTTGGCAGTTTCATATAAAAAGTTTCTTATCCGAGCACACAACTGAACAGGGATATCTGTAAGATCATTATTCACAAAAGTAAGAAGCAGTAAATGAGCCAGACATGGTGGCCCATGCCTGTAATCCTAGCCCTCGGGAGGCAGAGGCAGGAGGATCACTGTGAGTTCGAGACCAGCCTGGGCTACATAGTGAGTTCCAGGTCAGTCTCAACTACATAGTGAGACCCTGTCTCAAAAAAAAAAGTAAAAGAAAAAGCAGTAAATGATCAGATGCTCATCAGTTGGCAAACAGGTAAACCCAACATGGTACATCCAGACAACAAACTGTTACACAGCAACCAAAAGAAATCAACTCTCAACCGACTGAACACGGATGAGCCTCAGGCATTCCGCGTGACATGAAGACGTGGGACACAGAAGATGAGGTACTGTGATTCCAATTACACAGATCTACGAAGGCAGAACTCCAGAGTAAGAAAGCAGATGACACGTGCCTGGAGAGAGGTGGGCAGGCTGCACATGGGCGCAAGAGCACAGGGTGCAGCAAGTCTCCAGGGCCATGCTGCGGCAGTGGCTACACTATGTACATGAAGACCTGAAATGCTCATGTGCTGACTCCCTGGGATGAGCATGGCATGTATTGCAATATGTACTAATAAAATTTTTAAAAAATCTAACAAACCCATGGAAATGTACTAGGTGAATTTTATCTTATCAGTTATACTTCGATAGAACTGTTTAAGACAAGGTGTTCTGCAGGTCATATAGGTCCAGGCTATATGAAAAACCAAAGGTATAAAGGACAAGGACAAAGCAATGCTCATCAGGACAATGGAGAATGTGGTCAAATGAAATCATCAGCATATGGCTGCGTCAGCACAGGCTTGCTCACAAAGTCCTGGAATAGTAAAATCAGTTTAAAGGAAAATTTATTATCAAGGGTTCACGTCATATAATAAAGCTACCACTCTTATTTTCAGAGAGAATATCTATAAGCAGAATTGATTTAAAATCAACTCATGGGGGCTGGGGATTTAGCTCCGTGGTCCCGCTGCCTGCTTCGCAAGTTCAAGGACCCGAGTTCGATCCCCGGTACCAAAAAGTGCTGGGCATTTGGCTCAGTGGTTTTGCTACCTGCCTTGCAAGTGCAAGGGCCCATGTTTGATTCCTGGTACCAAACAAACAAAACAAAAAGAAAGAAAGAAAAGGGTACTATGGAAAACAGGCGTAACCTGAGCTCTAGTCTCAGCTCACCTCGATCCATGTCTGACTTCTGTGTCTGGCTCACTCAAAGGTTTAAACTTCTGCTGAAGCCCAGGTAGATACTATTTGTGCCCATAGGGGGAAATACATTGCCATGAAAATGTTGTACAGTGAGCCAGGGGCGGTGGTTAAAAAGCCTGTAAGCAGAACTGTAATCATAGCACTTGGAAGGATGAGGCAGAAGGACTGCCCTGAGTTTGAGGCCAGCCTGGGCTACATAGCTAGACTCTGTCTCAAACAAACAAAAAACAAAAAGAGCCTATAATCCCAGAACTCCGGGAGACTGAGCAGAGGACTGCAAATCTGAGCCCAACCTGGACAACTTTGTGATATACCGTCTCAATTTTTAAAAAAAGGCTGAGAATATAGCTCAGTGTAAAGGCCCTGGATTCAATCCCCAGTACAGGAAAACAATGTAGACGAATAAAAAACAAAAAGACACCTTCCACTGTCTCTCCTTGAATCACATATTCTCTGTACAGATTAAAAATACAGATAATAAAGTCTCCAAAATACTTACCGCTGATACACAATCATAACAACATTATGTCAATGTTATTCAAAACCTTTTTTTAATTTTATACCAGGGATCAAACTCGGGACCTTGCGCTTACAAGGCAGGCGGTGGAAACACTGAGCTAAATCCCTGACCCTCAAAACCTCTCTTATACAGTAGAAACATGCATTAATGTTCTGCATTCTATGTTTGGGCCTGAGAGCAGAGTACATAGGTTCAAACCCTGCTGCTGCCTCTTACAGCCCTGTAGCTCGTGACCTGGGAGAACAACAGTACCTTTCTCAGGGCTCTGGGGAGGGGCAAGTGAGTTGAACTTGCCCTGTATCAGAAGTGTTCCTGATATGAAACAAGTATGAACGACGACAACTACGTTCCCATGTCAGGCTGTGCACACACACACACACACGTGCGTGGCTGACCCTGACACGTGCAATGACTGCAGTGACTGTGTCGATGTGAGCAGTTCTTATGCTACACACAAAATGGGATCCACAATGTACTATGAAAGTGTTTTCCTGTGGAGCATCAATCTGCATCAGCATTTGATGACTAAATATGATCCCCTGTAGAGACAGACCATGCTAAGTACACTGGGAAGCTGTGGATCATTTTGGCTGTTTGCACAATTGTTTGGGGTGTATTTATGCATCACCTAGTAGCCATCACAAAAATTCAAAAGCAAGTCAAATAAGGATCAGAAAAGCAGCAGTCTGTCAGACCAAACCAAGATTATTTTCTATCCCTTTGAACCCCAGGCTAGAGAAGTGGCTTATGCAGCCCACTCAAGTCTAGTTATGATTTAAATCAGACCAGATCATTCAGTACTTGCTCAACATTAAAAACAGGAACAGCATGACATCATTAGAGTACAAATTTTATTTTACAAAAAGACATGATTCTTCCAAAATTAAATCAGGAATACCTTTAAAGTTCCTATTCCAATTGCGCAGATTCATCGGTGCCTGATGGCGTCCCCTCCCTCACCCAGCTAGGGTGGCCCCTCAGGTCCCGGCAGGGCTGCAGGGAACTCTTGGGGTGAGACTCGCACCCTAACTTACTCTCCATGGTGGCTCTCCAGTGAGTGCTGGCATGGCGAGGAGGGCCTGTGAGGCCCTGCAGAACCCCAAGGGTCACAGTCCTCATACATCGTCCTGCCACGAGTTCCGATGGACCAGCTCTAGAAGCGGCTGTGGGTTGTCCGTGCGCCGATGACTGGCTTGTCCACCAGCTCCACGGCACATGGCTGTGGGCCGCAGCTGCCGCAGGGTGAGCCCTCCAGCTCCAGCACTGTGATGTTGTTAGGAGTTGAAGTTGTCAGGATGTGCTTTGGCACAAATAAGGTCATCTGGGGACCCCGTGCCGGCCAGTAGCGGCCAAGGTTAAAGCCATTAATCCACACCTGACCCTGGGGGTGGAGAGAAACAGAGAGAGAGAGAAACAAGAGACAAAACCATCAACCCACAACACACCGACAGCCCTGAGGAGTGAGGGACCCCTGGTGCGCGGGTCCAGCAGGACCAGAAGCAAGAAATGGCAGAGGACCGGGCAGGGCCAGCCTTGGCTTTAGCACCCTGAGAGATAACTGGCAGAGGGCAGGTAGCAGAAATAACAGTGCCACCCCACGCACCCACTGCAGCTTCTGGAAACCTCTGCTCGGTCCTCTGTTCAGAAGCCCCAGCTGTCCGTCTTGGACCCACCAAGCTTCTTCTTTTTTTCTTTTGAGATAGGGTCTCACTATGCAGCACAGGCTGGCCTTGAACTTGCAATGCAGCCTAGACCGGGCTTGAACTCTTGATCCTCCTGCCTCGGGTTCCCAAGGCCTGGGATGACAGGTGTGCGCCACTGCACCCAGCCCAGCCAGACCAAGTTTCGGACGTCATCCTCGCTCCAGGCACCACAGCTTCGCCTAGACCTCCCTGGGCTCAGAGGAGAACTGCCGCACTGGCTGCTGTACACCCAGTGAACACAGCGACAACACAGCACCCAGGGCCTGCAGCCTGAGGACAGGAGGGCGCCGGTACAGTCCCCAAAACAAGCTCTCAAGAAGGGCATGGGGCCGGGAAGGAGGGAGGGGATCTGCACTACTGCTGTGTTCGCCCTGGGTGATGTGGTGGACTCCCTGTTTGCTCAAGGAGCAGAGATGACTCCACAGGCTGCAAAAACGGCTGTGAGGAAGGGAAGCAACTTCCCAGACAGAGTGACAGTGGGGAGAAACACCTAAAGAATAAGGTCCACGTTTGGTGTTTGTTTTTGTGGTTCTGGAGAGGCCTTCACACTGAGCTACATTCCTAATCCTTTTTTAATTTTTAATTTTGAGACAGGGTCTTGCTAAGTCACTAAGTTGCCCGGGCTGGGCTCAAACTTGCAATCCTCCTGCCTCAGCCTCCCACATGTGCCAAGATCTGCTCGTGGGTGGCTAAACAGATAAACATTCTCTTTCAAAGAAAGAAAGCGAAGGGAGAGTGGGGGAAATCACAGACATGAGAGAGAAACAGAAGATCTGGAAAAGGAAGAAAGGGATAAAGAGACAGAAGCAGAGAGAGGAAGAAGAAATTGCTACCCAGGGCTCAGCACAGCAGCAGCACATCGTCCTGCGATAAGAATGCCACTCTTTACCCTGCAGGCGCTTACCTCCGGGTATCTGGCAGCTTCCCAGTGTCCCTTTTATTCTAGCTCCTTCTGAATTTCTTACCGAGCTCATATTCTTAGTCCTGCCACTTCTAGCTGTCAGATCTCGGGCAGTCTCTACTCAGTTTTCTGTACCAGTAACTAGGGACAATGAGGACACAGGGGTCAGTGAGTGTCCACATCCAACCGGGCCTGGCGTGGGCATGGAGCTCCACGAGGGCAGGGCTCCTGGTCTTATGGAAACAGAGAGTACTCGGCGTTCACATCCCACAGAAGGAGGGCAGTGACTAAAAACCACCCGTGTGTTGGATGAAGTCATTTAGAAAAAGGATGACAGTTCCACAGTTCTCAGAACTATTTTACTCTTGTTTTTTAACCACGGGATATGTTGTTATCTCTGTCCATCCTAAAAGGCATCAGTGAGTTTTACCAGGTTTTTACGAGTTTCAGATCTGCCGGGGCCTTGTTCCCGCAGCACCAGAAAACAGAAGCACTTAGCTGTTGTGAGCAGATGGCCTCCAGGCAGATCGGCAAGGTGATCACGCACTGACAGGCAGGGCCAGCTCCTGACCACAGCGAGCGACCGGCGGCCGAGTCTCATGGCACATGTCCGAGAGTGTCCCTCCCATCTCAGCTGCGCAGCGCAGCTGGTGAGCCGGGACTGTGCCCTGGGAGCCCCTCTGCTGGGGGCTCTGGGTGAGGGCTGCTGAGAAAGCGTCTACTTGGGACTTGGGGGTGGCGAGGACTCAGCACCGCCGCTCTTGGGAGGTCTTCGGGTCAGATACAGGCCCACTGAGCCGGCGGTCCCTGCTGCGCCCCAGCACGTCCTGCTCTGGTCCACGTCCAGCTTGTCCTCCTGAAGGCCCACAGCCAGAGGCCAGTTCCCGAAGACTCTCTGTGGGTCCCTGACCGCCACTGTGGTGTCTCAATGAGCTTCTCAGGTTGCCCTCGGCCACCGGCGCCAGGGCTTCAGGGGAGCAGGGGCTGTGTCTGCTCCTCCTTTCCCGGCTCCTCCGACAGGCGTGGCATTCCTGAGGGCGCATGCGCAGCGGCACCTCACCCCCCCCCCCCCGCG